AGGGCCTCACGAGGAAACTACTTACCACCACTGCTACTACCACTCTACGAGGACAGGGATTTACTTGTCTGACTTTCCCTGCACTGCCCCCCCCCCCCCCCCCCCCCCCCCCCCCAAGAAGCCAGGAGAACGTTTGTTCCTCAAGCGACTCGACAACCTTATCACTGTACAGGCCACTAGAAGAAATCAAGTCATCATCGAAAGCAAAAACCCTTGGGCCAAGGTGGACTTTCATTACTAAAATACCCAATGCTTCATTCCATGATGAAAGGTACACTTCAGTGGACCGTCAACATGGCAGCCAGAGCTCTCGTGTGGGCCTGGCTATCACTACTTCCACAACAACCCAGCCTTCATCGAAGCAGAGAAAATTCCAACATATTCTCACAGTGCTATAATTGTTACTCATACTTACACACACAAATGATTGGTCTACCAAGGGCAAGAAGTTCTGCTCCCACCTTGTGGCCGTGAGGGTCATGACTTAAGAAAATTTGCAACACTGCTTCACCACCTAAATGCTTGAAAACTGCAAGAATGACACCTTAATTCTTGCTGCCAGGTGCCCTAACAGAAGAGACATACTCAAGAAAACAACAACAACAAAAGAAAACCCAACCTACAAGCAACCACATATTCTGCTATCGCCGAGCTTCAAGCAGACACTACCAAGATACTACATGCCACGCAAGCTGCTCTCACCACTTCCCTGCCAGCACCTACTGCCGACTCCACCAAGATTCTTTGTTGCATTATGTATGCTCATGTACAGAATGCAGCTGAGCCTGGTTCCTTCAACACCACCATCAATGAACTTTTCAAACTAAATAATATGCCTGCCCTCACATTCCCTGCATCACCACCTTCCACTGAGATCCTAAAATCTACTGCAAATATTACCAGCATCACCGCTGCTCCACCGCTGTCACAACCTCCACTAGACACAGAGATGGACCAATCAGAGACCTCTGAGACGTCGGCAAAACCCACCAATGAGAGTCCACTACCGCTTTCATCCACTGCTAGAGCAACTGACCAGTCGGAAATCTCGCCTTCACCAGTTCAGCCACCAGCCAAGAAAGCAAAAACACAAGACACTGCGGATGCACCTCACGGTGCCACTGTCACTGACACTGCTGCACCACAACAAGTCCGATATCTGAAGGGTGTATACTTCTACACAACCAAGGAGTATAAGAACACAATGCTGTCTTCAGCATTTGTGTCCTTTTACTTTGCAAGTAGTCATTTCGATAAGGACCTGCCTCGCATGGGCCAGTAGGCCTTCTGCAGTGGTCCTCCATTATTATGTTCTTATAGGGTAGTTGATGAGTGGAACAGTCTAACTAGTTGGGTTATTTAGGCTAGGACTTTTGGTAGCTTCAAATTTAGGTTGGAAAAGTATATGAGTAGGATTGATTGGATTTGAGTTGGACTTGGGGATCATTGAAAACTTGATTGTAGATGAATGGTTCAGAGAACCGACACGTTGATAAATCAGACACATGCGCAACTCTTGGGTATCTTTATTGAGGAAACGTTTCGCCACATAGTGGCTTCATCAGTCTATACAAAGGAGAATCGTGAATAGTATGGACTGAAGAAGCCACTGTGGCGAAACGTTTCCTCAATAAAGATACCCAAGAGTTGTACAAATGTCTAGATTATCAACATTGTAAACTGGGTTGGGCAAATAAATACTTGATCGAGAGGGGTTTGGTTTGAACGGGATTTGCATATATTAATTGATGGAGTTATCAGACTTTATTTCTTGGGTAGCATTGAAAATTGGGTTGGGCAAATGTTTTGTGAGGGGGATGGATTGTAAAGGACCTGCCTAGTATGGGCCAACAGGCCTGCTGCAGTGTTTCTCCTTTCTTATGTTGTTATGAGTTGCATTTGAGTCACATGACCTTATTGTCAGGTGTTACACTTCACTCTCAGCCTATATATGCTTTCATTTTAATCATCGTTTGTTGTCGCTCGATCACACAGTCCGATCATACAGTTGCTCAACACCGCAAGAAGCCTCTCTTGGACCCCGTCGGGGTGTAGAATTTATATTCTACAAACGTGATATCCTTTTCACAATGCTGTCGAATCGTGTGAAAATCAAGCCTGTGAATGGTGCAATAAATGACTCCTCGAAGTTAGCTTTAGCTACCGTCGTTAGGACCTGCCTGCAGGTCAAATTTACGGCAATCCACTCTCTGAAAGACTCCTTCATTGTCGTCTGCACAGATGACACGGAAGCACTAAAACTAATGGACGACTCTTCAATCAGGACCCTACAAACACAACAATTCACTCTATCCCCGTCTCCATTCTGAAGTCGAAAAGTTCGGTCTTTGTGAAAAGACTTGACAATATCGTCACCTCTCTCTCTACTTAAGCACTGAAGACATCTATTGAGGAACAAAACACGTGGGCCTCGGTAGACAGCATCTCAAAGATCCCCAACGCCACATCACTGCTAAAGATTACATTCTCAGACATCTCCATGGCTGCCCAAGCTCTCTCTGACGGTCTGGCCATCTCATATTACCACATTCACCCAAGTCATATAGAACAAGAACGTTTCACATACATCTCCCACTGCTGGACCTGCTACTCCTATAATCACACCACCAAGGACTGCCCCATTAAGAATAAAAAGTTTTGTTCAAAATGTGGGAATGATGGACACGATTTCAGATCCTGCACCATTACTACAACACCAACATGTCTTAACGGCAAGGGTAATCATCATATCCTTGCAGCTAAGTGCCCACTCAGGAAAGAAATCATATTGAAGAAAACTAAAGTTCTGAAGACCTCCAATTCACCGACATATGCTGCAATAACCAAACCACAAACCGACGCCATCAAGACTCTACATGCTAATCTACAGGCACCATCGCCCAGCAACTCCCTCTCTCCACTCCCCGACGGTGCTCCTTCCAAGGTGCTGTACTGCATGGTGTATGCACACCTTGCAAACGCAGCAAGCCCCGGCACTTTCAACACCACTATTAACGAACTATTCCGTCTGAACAACATGCCTGCCTTCAATTTTCCGGAATCCACACCTTCAGCAGACATCCTCAAGATCCTGTCTCCTGCCCAAGCAACTGCTCCTGTAACTTCTATAACAACTTCCACCGCTGACAACGTTGATCAAGTTGCCTCAACCACCACCTCCCACCTCTCCCAGCCTGCTGTTACACAACCATTACACCTCACAGCTGCTCCTGTCGAACCTCAGTCACCTGCTACCACCATTGTAGATTCTCCCAGTGAATCCACTCCAGAAGAGGAAGATAACGACGACTCCAGTAAACCCTCATGGGAAAACCTTACCTTTTACACTTCTCCTTCAAATACTGACACCATGACCTGTACTGAACTCTACAAAAGCCTCGGTGCTGGAACAGTCAAGTATGCATGTGAATCACCGCTTCACTTCACACTCACCCAAGTTCTTGAGTTCATCAAGCCTCTACGACTCAAGAAATCGTAATGACACGATTGCAAATAAACCATACCCGACGGGCTGGAGTTTAGAGACTCTATGACCGCGGGTTCAATCCCGGCCGGGGGTATGGTTTTTTTTCAAGCCTCTACGTTTCACCTTCAGCAACAAGGCTAAATTATACCACCTATCTAGAAGCAGCTTCAAAAAGTTTGAAAATGGCTCCATTGCTAACCTGCCTCCTCAGTTACTCCTATAACTCCCATATATGTTCTACCCTCTGATGTGACCTAGCCTGCTGCCAGCTACTGAAGATTCGATGGAAATATAAACACAAATGCAGTATAATGTGATCCTTTATTGACAACGTTTCACCGACACAGTGGGCTTTTTCAAGTCACACACGGATCTCAAGATTCAAGACTTCAACTACCACAAGTTCAATGCGACATTAGTTGCACTTGTGTCCTTTTACTTTACATATTGTCGGTAATTCTACCAACTTTATTACGATGATGATGATAATAATAAAAGATTATTATATTTTATTTATTTTGCAGGCCATCCTGACGCCTGAGGCTGACTCTTATTGTGTCAATACTTCAGGTAGCCTGACACCTGAGGCTGGCTCTTACTGTGACAATACTTCAGGCATCCTGACACCTGAGACTGGCTCTTTTTGTGTCAATACTTCAGGTATCCTGACACCTGAGGCTGGCTCTTGTTGTTTAATACTTCATGTATCCTTACCCCTGAGGCTGGCTCTTGTAGTGTCAATACTTCAGGTATCCTGACACCTGAGGCTGGCTCTTGTTGAGTCAATACTTCAGGTATCCTTACACCTGAGGCTGGCTTGTTGTGTCAATACTTCAGGTATCCTGACACCTCAGGCTGGCTCTTGTTGTGTTAATACTTCATGTATCCTTACACCTGAGGCTGGCTCTTGTAGTGTCAATACTTCAGGTATCCTGACACCTGAGGCTGGCTCTTGTTGAGTCAATACTTCAGGTATCCTTACACCTGAGGCTGGCTTGTTGTGTCAATACTTCAGGTATCCTGACACCTGAGGCTGGCTCTTGTTGTGTCAATACTTCAGTTATTCTGGCACAATATTCTGATACTTGTAGTGTCAATATTAAACTGACTCTTGCATTGCCAAGATAACTGTTACAAATCAGAAGATTCTGTAAATACTGTATATATTGTTAATACAGTGACTACACTAAAAACATAGTTAAGTAAATTAATATACGACATCATTATTAATCATTATGTTGAAAACATCTGAAAAAACTGTTTTTTTAAGACAAATCAACGTACAGGTGTTGATGATAATTCACACTCGCTACAACACCCTTCTTCTCAAGAACAGTGCGTATCTCTCACCAGATTTATTATAGACTATGAAACACTCAAACGTTCAATGTGTCTTAAAGAGCTTTCTGATAAATGTAATTTACTACAACACATGAGAACTCATATTGGAGAAAAACCATATCAGTGTTTAGTGTGTCTGAAAAATTTTTCTAAAAAAAAATACTTTAAAAAGGCACTTGATCATTCATACTGGAGAGAAACCATATCAGTGTTCACAATGTCCAAAAGACTTTTCGCAAAGGTCTGACCTAGTATGTCACATGAGAACTCATACTGGAGAGAAACCATATAAGTGTTCAGAATGTATGAATACCTTTTCTCATAGATCAACATTAGTAAATCACAAGAGAACTCATACTGGAGAGAAACCGTTCCAGTGTTCAGTGTGTCTGAAAGACTTTACAAGAAAACCTTATTTAGTACATCACATTAGAGCTCATACAGGAGAGAAACCATATCAGTGTTCACAATGTCCAAAAGACTTTTCGCAAAGGTCTGACCTAGTACGTCACATGAGAACTCATACCGGAGAGAAACCATATAAGTGTTCAGAATGTATGAATGCCTTTTCTCATAGATCAACATTAGTAAATCACATGAGAACTCACACTGGAGAGAAACCATATCAGTGCTCAATGTGTCTGAAAAACTTTTCTCGAAAGTCTGGTTAAGTAAGTCATATGAGAACTCATACTAGTAAGATATGATTCATGACAGTATATCATTTAAATAAATAAATATATCAATATTTCGGTCTAGTTTACTAAACATTACTTAACCTAAATTATGAAATAATTTTTGAGCGTTTTTTCTTCTCGAAGATTCTGGTATTGGGCCAGACTTGTCTGGCAGCGTGTTGCATGTCTGGCAGTGTGTTGCATGCAACACAACTGGTGACATCTATCAAATAAACAATCTATTAATTCCTACCCTCAGTTTTACTTTGCCACAATACCACCTTGATGGTCTTCCTGAATGTCATTTTTATATATTATATTGTATATTCTTTACAATAGTGTCATTCTGAAGATCATAATTCTTAATTGGTAAATAAATCATATACTGGAGTATACTGGGAGAAATCTTTCATTGCCCACGTGAACCTATCTGAGATCAGGCCTCTTGGTTTACCTGGAGAGGGCTTCTGGGGTCAAAGACCATGCGCCCGGTCTGAGACCAGGCTTCAAGGGGGATCAGGTTCTGATCAACCAGGTTGATACTGCTGGCCTCACGCAAGCTGACGTACTAACCACAGCCCAGTTGGTCAGGTACCGACTATAAGTCCATGTCCAGTACCTTCTTGAAGACAGCCAGGGGCCTATTGGTAATCCTCTTATGTATCCTGAGAGGCAATTGAATAGTCTTGGGCCTCTAACACTTACTTTGCTTTACAGAATGGATATAAATTCTCTAGAAAATGTACAAAGGAGGATGATAAAGTTGATCCCATGTATCAGAAACCTTCCCTATGAGGATAGACTAAGGGCCCTGAAACTGCACTCTCTAGAAAGACGTAGAATTAGGGTGGATATGATTGAGGTGTATAAATGGAAGACAAGAATAAATAAAGGGGATGTAAATAGTGTGCTGAAATACTAGCCTAGACAGGACTCGCAGCAATGGTTTTAAGTTGGAAAAATTCAGATTCAGGAAGGATATAGGAAAGTACTGGTTTGGTAATAGAGTTGTGGATGAGTGGAACAAACTCCCAAGTACCGTTATAGAGGCCAGAACGTTGTTTTAGCTTTAAAAATAGGTTGGATAAATATATGAGTAGATGTGGGTGGGTTGTGAGTTAGACCCGATAGCTTGTGCTACCAGGTCGGTTGCCGTGTTCCTCCCTTAAGTCAATGTGACCTGACTTGACTAGGTTGGGTGCATTGGCTTAAGCCGGTAGGAGACTTGGACCTGCCTCGCATGGGCCAGTAGGCCTTCTGCAGTGTTCCTTCGTTCTTACATTCTTATGTCCTTCATTGTATTCGTGGTGTCCCTGCTTTTCACTGGGGGAATGTTGCATCTTCTGCCGAGTCTTTTGCTTTCATATGGAGTGATTTTCATGTGCAGGTTTGGTATCAATCTTCACAGGACCTTCCAAGTGCATATTATCATGAATCTCTCTTGCCTGCATTCAAAGGAATACAGATCAAGGACCTTCAACCATTCCCAGTAATTTAGGTGCCTTAACGTACTTACGTGTGTATCAGGATCTGGTGAACCAGGCAACTACTGCTGCCGACATATAAACCAGCATACGAACCAAAACCCAGCTGACCAGGTACTGACTTTACATGCCAACCCAGTGCCTTGTTGAAGACAGCCATGGGTCCATTGGCAATCCCCCTTATGTATCCTGGGAGGCAGTTGAACACTCTTGGTCCCCTGAAACTTATTGTGAGTTCTATTAGTGTACTCGTGGTACCTCTGCTTTCCATTCTGAGAAAGTTGCATCTCCTGCAGAGTTTTTTTTTGCATTTGCAGGGAGTGATTCTCCTGAGCAAGTTTGGTACTAATCCTTCTAGGATTTTTCCAAGTGTTTATTATCATGTATCTTTCTTGCCTGCATTCCAAGGAATACATATCGTACTTATGTGCACTTTGAAAGTTCCCCTGCCTTGAAGGGGGCAGTTAGTGTACAGCAGTATTCCAGCCTATTACAATAAAAATAATCACAATAAAAATAATAACTGCAGACAGCAACAGCCCAGGGAAGTTCTACCTTCCTGCCAAATGAGTATAAAACGGAAACCTGTAATTGTTTTACATAATGGTAGGATTGCTGGTGTTCTTTTTTCTGTCTCATAAACATGCAAGATTTCAGGTACATCTTGCTATTTCTATTTACACTAAGGTTACACTACACATACATGCACATGCATATATGTACATACCCCTCTGGGTTTTCTTCTATTTTCTTTCTCGTTCTTGTTCTTGTTCTTGTTTATTTCCTCTTATCTCCACGGGTAAGTGGAGCAGAATTCTTCCTCCTTAAAACATACTTGTTGTAAGACACGACTAAAATGCCAGGAGCAAGGGGCTATTAACCCATTCTACTTTATAAATTGCTAAATTTAAAAGAAGTGTGAGGGAAAAGTTCAACGGATGGGAGTAGCGAGCGAGTATATGGTAACGATAGTTTGATCGCCGGCTACTTGTTAAGGTATGGTCAGCCTAGGTCCCATTATCCCCCCCCTTTTCTCCCCACCCCGAAAGGTGACGTGTAGGGCTCCGGCCAAACAGTAATCACTCGACTCACAGCTCCCAGCACAACTGTAAGTAAAAGCCTCTGCTCCTATTCTAGTGGATATCAATAATAAACTTAGTCCTTTCAAGTGTATGGTGTAGGAGGTAGGTTACTGAAAACAGTGAAGAGTTTTTACGAGGATAGTGAGGCTCAAGTTAGAGTATGTAGGAAAGAGGGAAATTTTTTCCCATTAAAAGTAGGCCTTAGACAAGGATGTGTGATGTCACCATGGTTGTCTAATATATTTATAGATAGGGTTGTAAGAGAAGTAAATGCGAGGGTCTTGGCAAGAGGCGTGGAGTTAAAAGATAAAGAATCACACACAAAGTGGGAGTTGTCACACCTGCTCTTTGCTGATGACACTGTGCTCTTGGGAGATTCTGAAGAGAAGTTGCAGAGATTGGTGGATGAATTTGGTAGGGTGTGCAAAAGAAGAAAATTAAAGGTGAATACAGGAAAGAGTAAGGTTATGAGGATAACAAAAAGATTAGGTGATGAAAGATTGGATATCAGATTGGAGGGAGAGAGTTATAGAGGAGGTGAACGTATTCAGATATTTGGGAGGGACGTGTCAGCGGATGGGTCTATGAAAGATGAGGTGAATCATAGAATTGATGAGGGAAAAAGAATGAGTGGTGCACTTAGGAGTCTGTGGAGACAAAGAACTTTGTCCTTGGAGGCAAAGAGGGGAATGTATGAGAGTATAGTTTTACCAACGCTCTTATATGGGTGTGAAGCGTGGGTGATGAATGTTGCAGCGAGGAGAAGGCTGGAGGCAGTGGAGATGTCATGTCTGAGGGCAATGTGTGGTGTGAATATAATGCAGAGAATTCATAGTTTGCAAGTTAGGAGGAGGTGCGGGATTACCAAAACTGTTGTCCAGAGGGCTGAGGAAGGGTTGTTGAGGTGGTTCGGACATGTAGAGAGAATGGAGCGAAACAGAATGACTTCAAGAGTGTATCAGTATGTAGTGGAAGGAAGGCGGGGTAGGGGTCGGCCTAGGAAAGGTTGGAGGGAGGGGGTAAAGGAGGTTTTGTGTGCGAGGGGCTTGGACTTCCAGCAGGCATGCGTGAGCGTGTTTGATAGGAGTGAATGGAGACAAATGGTTTTTAATACTTGACGTGCTGTTGGAGTGTGAGCAAAGTAACATTTATGAAGGGATTCAGGGAAACCGGCAGGCCGGACTTGAGTCCTGGAGATGGGAAGTACAGTGCCTGCACTCTGAAGGAGGGGTGTTAATGTTGCAGTTTAAAAACTGTAGTGTAAAGCACCCTTCTGGCAAGACAGTGATGGAGTGATTGATGGTGAAAGTTTTTCTTTTTCGGGCCCCTGCCTTGGTGGGAATCGGCCAGTGTGATAATAAAAAAAATAAAAAAAAATAATACTTTTAGATAATCACCACCTTTTTTAAGTATTTTACACTTATCATGGAGAGTGATTTCTTAAGCAGTGGGTAACCTGTCTCTCTTTCCAGCTTAGAATGACTGCTCGGGTCACCTGCCAACCAATGAGAAGTGTCCTTTTTTCTGTCTCATAAACATGAAAGATTTCAGGTACATCTTGCTATTTCTACTTACACTAAAGGGCACATTACACATACATGTACAAGCATATATATGCAAAATGATAAATTAGACAATGTGCAACTCTTGGGTATCTTTTTTTGATGAAACGTTTCGCCACCAGGGGGTTCATCAGTCCTTTACAAAGGAGATTTTGAAGAACAGGAGGAGATGAGGTAATCAGTCCCTAAACCTGAGTAGATGTTGTCGCCCATCAATTTTAAATGAAATAAACATATATGATCCCCCTCTGGGTTTTCTTCTATTTTTTTTTAGTTTTTTCTTCTTTTTTTCCCCTCTTATCCCCAGGGTAAGTGGACGAATTTTTCCCCCGTAAGCCATGCTTGTTGTAAGGATGAAAAAAAAGCCGGGAGCAAAGGGCTATAACCATTAAAAATTATCCCTTTTGGCCTGGATAGGTCCCACCTTAGGGGAGGCAGGGCCGTGTCAGCTTTCAGGGACACTACTCTTCCTTTAAAAAACCCCGGAAAACGGGACACCCCAAGGAGGGTGCTCAGTCCCCCCTGTTTACCATCCTTATGCAGGAACTTGTGAGCCTTCCCTTTCATAGTGGTACACAGCTCCTCAGCTATGCTGATGATCTAGTAGTGAATGGGAAAGGCAATTTAGAACGACAGGCTCATAGAGCTTTGGACCTAATTATGCAGTCTTGCAAGGAACTAGGCCTCAAGATTTCAATCAACACTGAAACACTTCCAAAAACACAATTTGAGTACTCCCAATTACACCACTGAATACTACTAAAACACCGCTGAATTCAATCAAAACACCCTTCAACACCTTCAAACACCCTTGAACACCTTCAAAAACAGCTTTGATCATTTTCAATCAACACTGAAACACTTTC